CATACAGAGAGGCAATGGCAACGGCTACCATCTCCCTGCAGCACTGAAGAAAAAAAAATGAAAAGAGAATTTTAATCATTTTTAAAGTAAAAAACAAAAATAAACAAGCTTTCTTCTCAGCAAACATTCTCTGTACATCCCATTATGTTTCAGTGAAAGCTGTAAGAGTAAAGACCTGAAATAGCAAGGAGGAAATAGCATCATCTGCTAATTTCATTCCCCATTGCTCTATTCTATTCTTTCGGCATATTCATTTTACATTATCAACTCACATTTGTACTCATTATCTCTTTGTCATGTTGTTTAGTGGTGGAACAAAATCAGTAAAACTGATAAAAATTGACAGTTTGCACAGAATTTCTAGTTAAAATGAAATGAGTAAATACTGACTGTAAAGAAAGAACAGCATAGAAACACACACATGCAAACACACCCTGCACAGAGCGCAATCTTCATCGGAAGACTTAAGAAGCTGATTGAGAGGGAGCGAAAGATGGAGGGAGGGAAGAAAGACAGAGACGGGCGTGCAGAAGGAGAGATGATAAATAAGGGGAGAGAGAGAGCAGGCGAGGCACTGTTAGGCCATTCAGCAGTGCGGTTCTGGTTTTCTCAGCGTGGCGATGGGTGGACAGCGCGCAGGCCGCTTTCACACAGATAATAGTGTCATTAATCAGCCAGTTGGTGCCTGGGCTCATTATCAGATGTAGGCCGTATGATTATGCTCATTGATTGGGCTGAAATATTCGCCCGCTGTTCTGACCTGGCCCACTCAGACCTGTTCCGGCCCGAGTGTTTATTAACTGACTAATTGATTTGAGGAGGAGAGCTGACAAACTAGACCTGGAATAATTCTCCCTCTAGCGCCACTGTTAGGATCCTCTCTGACAGGAACAAATGAACGATTTCTTTGAAAATTGTTTATGTATGGATGAACATGGATAAAGACTCGTATTCCTAACAAAACCGCTTTTGATTTGTCCTCATGTTTCATGTGATATGGGATGATAAAGTGGACCTTCTTATCACAAATGGCCATGGACTGTATGGTGGTGGTGATGTACCTCTGAGAACGCTCCCACGCCTCTGAAATGCACCTCCTTAGAAGCTCTTCTGTCTGCAGGTAATGTGCAAATGCATTACGAATGCATTACTAATACATATATTACCACACAGACAACGACTCTTAGGAAACTTTAATATATTCCATTCTAAATATATTCTTCCACTGTAAAGCAGTGAACCAGCAAGACACACAACCATCAAACCCCACCGTCTACATTTATAGGCCACTCCACACACTCAATGCTTTTTTTTTTCTTTTCAGAGAATCCATTGCTTGTTTTATCTGCATGTGATTTGATTCAGTTTAACCTTACTGAGTGGTAAAATAAAACTAAATGACTCACTTTGCTTCTCCATTACTGTAAATACATGAGCATGTGTACAGTCATAATAGATTCAGTGCAATAAAATGCCAATAGTAAAGGCTCTTCGGTCACCTCAGCTTCTTGTGTCCCTTATGTTTCTCACATCCATTGCTTAGTTTTAAAATACTTCACAAATGAATGAATGAGGTATAAAATGGCCTCATGAGTGCTGTTTATGAATGGATGGACTATTACGAGTACAGTGACTACTGTCTAATTACTGTGCTTAAAGTTTTTTTTCTCATGACTGATATTTTCAAATGAAACTCACTAACATTCAAATCGAGAGGAGAGCAGAAACACCCTCAGCCAACTGGACCATGATAAAAGAATATCAGTCTATAACCTTTCAAAATTAGGATGGGAAATTGGGGCAGTCAAAAAGGAAACATTAATTTTGCAGAATTATTGTAAAGCCCCAGGGCAGAGACCAAATGATTGCTGCCTGTTCCAAAAAATCACATGGAAATATAGCTCGGCATGCAGACTAGGCCAACTGTCCTCTCATGTACTTTCACATACAAAGAAAGAGCTGTATAGAATGAGTTTCACTTTCTGCTGACTAAAAAAGTCTGAATAGGAATCAAAAGCACCATATGTATCAATATTATTTATTTACTTATTTATTTTAAGGTGACATGGGGAGTTTTTTATGATCAATACTAAGATTATGATTTAAATGCAGACCTCAAGAAGTCCAGCACATTTTCTGGGGGCTTGAGGCAGAATGTTGAATGTTGTGTGCCAGTTTACATGTTCTGTGTTATTAGTTTTGCTCCACTTCACAGTTTTCAAGACAACACTAAATAATGTGTCCTATCCTATGATTAAAATCACAGCACACTTTCAAATTGTGATTCTCATATGAAAATGATTAATCGTTCAGTCCTAATTCATTCATTCAAACTACGCTTTGAACTAATTTGGTGCTGGTTACCTTTGTAAATTGCAGAGAAGAGGCAAAAAGAAGACACATAAGAGACTGTATTTTCTTAAGAAGACATGTTTCGAAGAAGTTTCTGCTTTGTCTCTAGTCAGGAATGGATCTGCCAGTGGGCTGAAAATGAGGTTGAGAAAATGCACAAAGCAGAAGGCCAGAGTAGCCCTATCTATATTGGAGCCCCTGCAATTCGGCATGGCTTTGTCCCTCATCCACTTTATAAATATATGTATGTTTGTTTGTTTATTTATTTATTTATATGTTCATGTACATATTCATACTCCTTCACCTAGATCTAAATTATAATCTCTTTCAAAGCGAGGAGAATTTGCAGGGGCTAAGTGTAGCGCGTGTGTCTGCGCATGCACATAGTACCAACTCAAGAGAAAATGGCTGATATCTAAGCGCTCTGATTAGCTGCAGAAAGTCAAAAGCATCCAGCTTTGTTTCTCCATCAGCTCCATTAGGGTGAGTAAACAGCATGTGTGCTCATAGCAGGCCCTATGCTAGCAAGAGGAAACAAAACCGTGTGGCACGATGCGAGCAGCAAATGTAAAACTGCTGACACTTTGCGACTGAGTTTGAGGCCGGCAGCAGAAAATCTCCCAGTGTGAAGGTAGAGGTGTGAAATCCATTTAAGAGTGCCGCGGGCAGAAAGGTTGCCATGCTGACGAAAAGTGCCTCTCTAAGGTAGCAGTGCAACAAGCCCTGTGTGTGTAGCCTCGTGGTGATAGTAGTGATAGAGAGTAAGACATATGTGTGTGGGTTTTGTGGTGGTGTTGAGATGAGACGATGTGGTCGTTTAGTGTACCGTAGTACCGTAGCAAGCTAATTCAGCTCCCAGAATCACAGCAAAAGTATTAAGCGACAGCAAGGAGTTACCCTCAGGATTAAGGAGTCACAGTGATGCTGGGTCTACAGCAGCTATTCACCAAAATCTTCCCTCAGAACCAGGCAGAAACACAGATCTCAAGTGCAGTTTGAGCATTTTTCTATAGCAATCCAGTGTTGCGGTGTTTTGGCCAAAGGGCACCATCGCAATTTTTTATCCTCCATTCCATGAAAACATTAACTATCCTCACACCGTAATCGCAGAATTCACTCATCACCTACAATGCAAACAGCACACAATTTACATGCAACTAATCCTCTTAAGGTTCAGCATCGCAATTTCAAAGCATGAAAACTGACAATTATGACAATGTTTTAAATGTTCTCTTTTTTTAAGGAACATTTTCGTGCCATAACTCTCCATTAATTGAGTCCCATCTTCCCTGCAAATCCACAGGGCACAAAATGGCGGCCAAACAAACAAACAGGCCTACTCACACTGCTATGGCATCTATGCAATGTGGGTTTTGTTTGCAGAGCCAGAGAAAGAGCTAAAGTGGAGAGGTAAAGACAAAGTGGAGACTAATATATGGTTTAGCAGGCCAGTTTCAAGCCAGAGTGAGCAAAACAATGGGCCACACATAAAGCAAAGTCCTGTTACTGCTTTTAAGATGAACGACTGTGCCAATAGTAGAGCATAGCCAAAACGGCCTCTCAAGAAATACTAATGAAAAGCCTTCTTTCGGCTAAGGCCACTGCGGTTAGCTCAAGTTTAATTCATGTGACAAAAAACAGCCTACATAGCATGCATTCAGTTAATATGCTTTTAAAACGTATCTGCATTTGTGAAAATTGCATCCTCTGATTCATGACATTACCAAAATGCTAAATGCAGCAGGTTGGTTTTGCGAGAAACACCAATAAGTCTTAAAACCTCCTTAATGTTGATTTGAGTCTTTTTTGGGGTAAGGGTAAAAGATTCACCATCTTCAATTTGTTCATGTTGATTATTGCAGACTTACTGTTAGTTCAATTCTTGATTTAGATCTCTAATTATGATCAGAAATAACCTCATTTATTAATTCATATAGATCGAGTAGGCAGACAGGTTGATCACTGTACAGGTAATACGTGTCTAGAAACTTCCTGGTGGAAAATCTAGGAAACTCAGTCATGGATTTAAAATACTTCAAAATAACATCATAAACCATGTAAGTTTAATGTGTCTCACTTTTTGCCTGGCCTACGGTGTGGAAGTGTTGGTTGAGCACAGAAAGTGGGCCAAAACCATTCAGCACTAAGAATTGCTGCAAAGGGCTATGAGCAATGGAGTCGTACATGTCATGTCTCTGTCTGACCTGACAGACTAAATCAATGAAACAAAGTTATATATCGGAATGCTGTATCTGAAAATCTTTCTATCGTCTCATCTGAGCGTGTGCATCACAATGAATCAGCATTTTCACAGAAGTAAACAGCATTTGTGTGACTTTCTATGCTACAGACAAACATTTTTCAACAGAAGGATGAGTAATTTAAGAGCTTTGTTATTACTACTATATTAGTAGTATTACTACTATAACTCATGCTCAGTATGGTAAGAGAACATGCCATCAAACATCTTCCGCTTGGTGTGAATTGACAAAAGTTCATATAGTTGCATCTTGTATGTATTTCTAACAAAGCCAATTTAATGTATTTTATTAAATGAAATTTTCATACTTTTATTCTCAGGCAAATTTGAATTGTCTATTGTCTTATCAAAATCAGTATTTACATTTGAGCAAAAGAAAAGATTTAATAGGATAAATTAAGTCATAGATTTGCAGAACAAGCTAAGAAAAC